CCCTGTGTAAACTTGGAAACTCCACTCTCTCTTCTCTCTCTTCTCTTCAGTCTCTCGCACAAATTGTTTATGGTCTGGTTTAAACTTAGTCTTAAACATCCTCTTTCCCCAGGATTTATAATAAAAATTACGTTTCTGTATCTCTTTTACTGTATACGTACGTGTTCATAATCAACTCCAATTTCTACAACACTCCAACATATAGATAAATACTGCAACAAGTCATTCAGATAATCATGCTTGATGTCTGATAAATATAGAAATGCATTTAATGAAAAAAAATCAAAAAACTAAAAGTACTGTACATACAGATACAAATCCCAAAACAAACATCCTCAGAGATCCCTGCCTTCCCAACTGTTCCCACGTGCCTGGACTGGAGCTCAACCTCAGGCCACACAACGATCCAAAGTGATTTTTAGTGAGAGTTCAAACACACCGATTTGCAGGAGCCAGACACGTTACAAAACACATTTATGACAGCTAATTTAAAAGTAACAAACAACGCTCCACAATGAACACTCCAGAGAACAGCCAAAAGGATGTCACAATTATTTGAGGGAGAAAACTCATAAAATCACTTGGAGTTAATGTTATCTGGACATAAAAGTAAATGGACCAAAGCAACGATAACTCCAGATCCATAAAGGTGGTCTATTCTGTTCTTTTAGTATCAGTATTTATTCCACCTTTTACACACATTTTCACTCGATAGACTAAAATCCAGTTACAGAAGGGACATTAAAAAAAATAATTTGCTGAAATATGTGATGTTTTAACAACTTTTATGTATTTTTGAGTTCTGACAAGTGAATGTAAGATACACTATACTGTCCTGCAATGGGTAAATGTGTATTGGTAGTGCTGCTTCACATATAAAAAAATACAGAGATTTAACATGACAATTACATCTACAAACCCATTGATATATTTTATAGCAGCTGGTACAATCATAGACCGTATATTAGGACTAGACTACCTGAGTGCCCCTAGTGTTTGCGGAATTCAGAAGAAGCCGATTTGAACATATGCCAATTAACAATAAAACACAAAATTACCTAAAATGGTTGCTATAGGGCAAGCTGGAGTTGCCCCTGTGAATGAAGGCATCTGGCTGGTCAATCCTTATGGCTCGTATCTGGATTAATAAGACAATACAGTATAAAAAACAAAAAAGAAAACACCGGGATTACAGAGAAGGCCAAACCACAAATTATTTAAGCCCAAAAGGGTGAGTGTGACAAACAGTTACTTAGCTAGAGAAGTTAACTCAATTAGAAATGCTGGCAAATTCCAGGCAGATCAAAAAAAGGTTTGCTATGTAGACGGCTAACTAATCTTTTGATACGTTTACATTTTTCTGTTGGATCAGTCATTTTACTTCTAAATGTAACACTAACCACAGAGTTCTTCCATCCACAGCTCCAGTCACTCCCTTACACTTGAACCACTTAAGCGGGACATATGTCAAAGCTCACTCCTTAAACGCTGTTGGACAGCTGCTGCTGGCAGGGCTCTCAGCGGTGCATTCAGGGACCGCAGGTTTTTTTACCACGTTCAGGTGAAGGCCGTACGTCGCTGTCTTTAAAGGTTACCGCTTTCAGGGAGGAACATGACACGGCTGGTTTTGTGCGTCGAAATGCCTCGAATGCAGACGCAGAGAAACCTCAGCCTTCAACAATCGCCCACTGTTCGGCTCCATTCATTCAGGAGGTGCTCACCTTTCTCCACCGAGACCTTTCCTACATCCATTTTAATCAAGACTAAATTTAGACCAGGCCTTTTTACTCACTGGGCTTTTGATATACTTTTCTGTGAATTCCAATCCCACTTTGCTCTCTACAAAGGCACACTAAAAAATGTAGTGCTTTTAAAAAGATTGGTGACTCATGTAATCTCTCTAAATTGCCCATACTTGTCTTTCCTAAAAATAATATCTGGCTATTACTATTCTCTTGTAGCAACTACAACTAAATAATAAAATCTTAAAGGGACAGTATGTATGTTTGTAAATTTCAAATCACATCTACATGCCAAGATAATTGGTCGACATGTAGAAATCATTGTTGTTCTTTAGTTATTCTTCATTAAAATGCAAGGTCCATAGCAGTTATAGTTTCAAGCAGAGCATCCAATCATAGAGCAGATGTTGGCACTCACTTAGATTGCCAGTTTGTTAGGAGAAAATTAGCTTTTATTTTTAAACTAAAAGTAAACAGCCATACTCCAGTGGGTGGATTCCATCAGTAATCAGTGCAGGAGCTACATGTGTCCCAGACAACAAATGTTGGATGTAATCATACGGCTTTATTAGACCATGATGCACACACTGTCCCTTTAAGTTATTATTACTTTACCAAGAATGTTCCACATTCATTTCCTTTCCTTGCTGCCATCAGTTGAGTTCCATCATCCACACGTCACACACTGAAAGATACATTCATCCTCATTGAATTTCTCCAAATCTGTGTCTGCAGCTAATCCATTTTCCACCGTCCTGTATTTTCCTGTGGTTTGTGTTCAAGGACAACACAGCGCTTAAGCCACAAAAACGAAAAAAAAAAAGGAAATTGGTATTTTACACAATTTTGCTAACTCACATTTGGAAACATAATTGTGGCCTGAAATCCTTTTCCAAACTTGGACTGCACATCATTGATTCACAAGGAAAAGTAAATAAATAAGTGCAAAATGATAAAAATCAAAACCACAAAACTACTGCGGCTGAGCTCATCAAGCATCAGCTGAAGCTGGCTCTTGTTTTGTGCAGCAACCCACCTCCTCCCGATCACAACCTCATCAGTACAGGAATCATTATGTGTGATCGGCTCAGCTTCCACCACTATCTCTGATATTTGCCCCTGTGCAGATGTGATGCAATACTGTACGTCAAAATCTAGGGACAAGTGCTGCACATTAGCTTTGGCTGATGCATGCAATCCTAATGCATCAGACTACTGTATAACAGTTTGTCTATGTTTTCTCTATCCATCCATACTCAAATAAAAGATTTGAGTATAAAGACATTTTCTGCTGTGGTCTAATCATCTGACGAACAGACCTTGCATTTATAATGACAGAACTTGCGCGACCTTTGTTTATAAGACCCAATTTTATTCTATGGCTTGTGTGGACCTCTGTCGTTTATTTGTGTTTTATTTTTATTTGATTAAATTAGTCAGTATTTTTTGTATTTTCATTCATTTTAATGCCTTTGAGTCCCAATTGTATTGCTTCTATTTATATCTTATTTATCTATTCTCTCATTTTTTTTACTGTGGTTTCAATCTTTCCGCTCAGCACTTTGGAAACTGTTTATGACATGTGCTCTAAACCTCACCTCAGGTTGGAGATGACTTTTCAGTTTATTCCCTTGTAAATCATTGCTTCATGTTAACTTCTAAGATTATTTTGCATAAGAATCATTAACAGTCCAGGAAGTTGCGACCTGACCTTTGACCGTTTCTACTCTCTGCTGGACTGGACCAAGTCTGAGTGTGCGTCTTCATGGTTCATATTTCGGCCCCCAGAGTGGAGCAGACTGGTCAGCTTCCTAAGTGGACCCAGACACTGGCCCTCGCTCACTCCCCTGTCAGAAGCCCGCTGATACATATTCATCATCAACTCCTCCGAGGGTCCAAACTCCAGCTCCATCCATTAGAGATTCAGAAACCAGAGCATAATGACGGGAATAGACGCTAAAGTGGAGCATTTATCTAAAAGGACAAATGACCACAGGGAAACAGGGACGGTGCATCGGGCCTAATTCATTGTGCGACCAATTAAAGACGTCGGTGTTATCTGGTCATGATAAACTCACTTTAACCCAATACGTTTCAACTCTCTCTTGAGATGGCAAGATGGCGCCATGTCTCCAAGAAGAAATGGCATAATATTTTGGTTGGAAAAGATCTTATCAAGCTATTAGAGGGTAAAATGATGGGATAGAAAATACTATTTACACTGTGCAATAAACAAACCACTCTCTATGCTATCATTATCATTACAGCTTCTAATTAAATCATCTGACTTGATTTGGCCTGGTTTACAAAGAGTGCGGTCTCTTCAGTTGGATGTTTAGAGCTGCTTTGGATCAGTTTTGAGCCTGGGTTTAATTTCAAGCCTATAATCCAATAAATTGTCAAACAATTTATTGTCTCAGAGACGGAACTGTATGAGGTGGCATAGTGTGATAACCATAATCAAAAATACTGCCACGGGTACGACAATAATATACATTTGCTGCTCATTATGAAATTCTTAACGAACACGCCATCCAAATCTTTTTGGATTTATGTCGGGTTAGAATTGACTTTCCATGCACACTTCCTGCTCTTCATCTGGAGAATCCTTGAGATGTTCCCAGGCTTCTTACCCAGGACCTCCCTCTCACCATGAGGACGCCCGGGAGGCATCCAAATCAGATGCCGAAACCACCTCAGCTGACATGTGGCTGAGCTCCTAACCCTACAACAAAAACATGTGATTTCTGTTAAAGTTTTGTATGGTATTTTCCCATTGTGCGTCATTATACCGATAGGAAATTATGAAACTAAAGGCACAAAAAGATTAAGATTAGATTTAGATTTTTGATTTAGAGTTGCATTTATTTTTTTTTATTTTTTTATTTCACACATAAATTAATGCATTTTTTTTATGAATTAATGAATTTATTTAGTAAATTGTTTGATTTATAACAGATATTACATCAATAACTGTATTACAACAAAAAATGCACAAGAAATATGTGCATGGTTTGAAAAGGGATAGATTTGTTGAAGCAAAAAACTTATTTTATTCCAATCCCCTCCGCGCCATTCAAACACATACTACAATGCAAAACAGCAACAACAACACAGAATCAAAACCCTACAATACCCACCGTCTTGTGTTGTATTTCCTCATTCCGACTGTTCTGTAACTGGTGATGCAACTATGAAAATTTCCCCACTGTGGGACAAATCAAGGATATTTTAATCTTAAGCTCATTCTTCCCTTGCATGTCTGCACATAAGGCCCTGTCCTGCCCGGAGATCAAACCGGAGACCTTGATCAACCGCAGCCCCGCCATGCTACACGCCACCATGCTACACGCCACCATGCTACACGCCGCCATGCTACACGCCGTCATGCTACACGCCACCATACTACACGCCACCATGCTACACGCCGCCATGCTACACTTCCACCATGCTACTCGTATTGTACTCACTTGACCTGTTTAGTATTTGCTTGGATACCGTGTTTGTTTTACACATGTCTTTTAACTCCATCTTCAAAGGGCCTTTACATTAACTAACACATGGATTCAGATTCCTGTAGCTGTGATATCCCTCCTGCTGAGCGCTCCGGTGTCGCTCTTTTGTGTTGGTCAGTGAACTCAGCACAGACCTCCCCAGACTTCGAGCCAGAGCCGACCGGTCCACAATGCCATGTTCACTGCCTCTGCGTCTCTCTTTACCTCTGTTTAAATCTGGACAAAGCTCTTATTGTGAGTGTGCAACTACCCCCATAGCCTCCCCACCTCCGGCCCTTCAATCATCGCAGCCGCCAGAACCACAAACCCCCTCAGCAGACTCCAGAGCGCTCAGAAGTCTGGACAAGAGGAGAACCAGGCCCGGATTACAAACGCAAAAGTATTCAGGGAGTAGGAAGGAAGTTATGGTGTTCCGCAGGTGTGTAGCCCCAGACAAGTGAGTGAGTTACACAGACATTATAGTATTTACTTTTAACCAAGTGTGTGCAGCAAATACATGTTCAAGAGCGTAGCAAAACTATATGAAAAGATGAAGTACCGATTGAAACTACAAATAATTAACCATGTAATAAAATCAATGAAACAAAACACTTCCTCTTTCTCCAAACAGTTTTCAGTGTGTCACCGGTGGCTGTTTTTTGAGCACCGGTGGCTGTTTTTTGAGCAAAATTGTGAATACATGCATGTATTTTTGACCCCTGTCACATTAGATTTCTTAGTCAAAAAGAGGGAAGCCAATCAGCTCTCATTGTCTAAAAGATAACATGTTATTTGATAAGTTGATAAGAGAAAGACAGGATGTTGAGGTCTGATTTGTTCACAAAATGATACTTTAATAAAAACCAAAGCAATAAAAGTTAAGAACTCCAGCTTTGAGACACAGGAACTCCATCTAAGCAAATAAAAAAATAGGCTATACATAATTTCAACTTTAAACTGTACATAAATGCAACCTACATTAACTGGTTTGGACTTTTATATCATCGTAAGTTAGAACATACACTACAGGCATAAATTAGTTTTCATACAGAATTTTTTTATCGCACCAAAAGTCAGTCATTCCTCAGATGAGTCCCAGGTCCTGGGAAAAAAGCTAAACATGATTGTCACGAGCTGCATGGACTGAAACACCAAAAACAGGACCTGCAGAAGAGCTCAGGTCAGGGTAAGTCTCGGTCTTCCTCAGACCAAGTCGCACTCCTGTACTCACAGAGAGAGAAACCTACAGAGGATGTCACCAAATGTCACTAATTCAGAGGCAGCATTTGTTACACACTGTAAGTTTCAGCTTCATTCTTCAGGTCAGAGATTTTCAGTCCCAAAAATTAACCCAACCAACATAGAATATATTGTTTCATTTTTATCTCCATATTGGTTTAAATAGCTAAGTGTAAGATTTTTGATCTTTTACCATGGCACTTGATAACATTGACGTGTTCAAGAAGACTACTTTGAAATGTTTTCAATGTGTTTGGACCAGCTCTCCCAAATGTCAAGGCAAGTTTACCTATGAGTCCCAAAAAAGAAACTTGAACCTCAAAAATGTGTGACATCTGGAAGAAATCAGATTAAGGTGCAAATGTTGCAAAAGCCATAGTTTCTCTGTTCAAGATGCTAAAGTGAGAGGAAACATTAAAGCAGTCAGTTTCTTCCTTTCAATGAGATTAGCACATGTCCATGTATACATGTTTGTTGTACAGGACAATCATCTGTGGGGTGAAAATAACCTGTCTCACAATGGTCCAAACCCAGATCACAGTTCCCTATTTGTGGCATTTATGACATTGAAATGTCATCTAATCATATCCTCATCATATTACTCCATTGCTCTTATTGTATCATGGCTATCTTATAAGAAAAATATACAGACAAAAGCAAAGCAGGACACTGTCTAAAAGTGTAAAACTTTCTATGACCCGACTTTCACATCCGCAAAATCCAGGTAGCCCAGCTTATAATAATGAGCAACACATCTGTCTGGATGGATATAGAGAGAGTAACATCTTGACTTGTTTCTCCCAGAGGCTACGATAAAGCCGTCGCTCACACTTCCTGTTAAAAATAAAAAGAGGTCGGACCATATGTGTGAGGAGACTGCGCTGTGTCTGATTCTAGTTATTAGTCACTACCAAACAAATAAAAGGCTATTTCAGGAGAATGGGCCCTAAGGGAGCATGCAGGCTATTTTCTGAATGAGTTCAGCAAAGCAGCATGTCTGAAATATCCATGCAGGCGACACGGTCTGGCTCAACACTTTGGAGTTGACAATTTAACAAGGTCTGTGCTGGTTTGAAGAGGTTATGTGCCCTATAGCTGTCAAGCATTTTCTCTGGGAAACAGATGTATTATTCTCATGTTGTATACCACTAAACCAGGATGTGGGCACACACAATAATAAAAGTGAAACTTGTTAAATTAGGTGGTGTTCAGTCGGAGACGCTGCGACTGTAAAACGTTAGAGTTGGGAATCGGTTTGGCCTCCTGTTTACATGGAGACAGTGTTTCAAATGACAGCACAAGCCTTTAGAACCAGCCTCCAGAGTGGGACAGAACGGATACGCTGCTCAGTGGAGGTTGTTTCACAGCCGCGTGAAGGAAAAAGTTTGAATTCTCTGCCCGTTACAACCTCACCACTTCTTCACACGTACATTTGGAAATGCGCAGTAGCCGAGAACAAACGTAAACAACAATGGCGGCCGGTACACTAACCAGCTACTATACTGTAGGCTTTGAGCGCTACTCTGAGGAGAATTATTTTCCTTCGTTCGTCCAAACTAGCTATAGTTTCATTTTCCATTTTCACAGCTGCTGTTACAGTAAATGCAGAATGACGTCGGTGCATTATTTCATGTGCGGCCTGAGGGGGTTGTTGTTGAGGAAGTGGTTATACTGCAGGGGTCACTGGTGCCATGTTCCAGAGCTCTGATGGGATCTGGCCTTTGCATGCAAGTATGGCCACATTCAACAGAAAATGTGACATGTGATACGTGTGGGCCTGGGGCATAGTCACATGGTCTCTAAGAAGGTAAACAAATGTAATTATAATAATCATACTAATAATAGTCATGGTAAAATAATTATTTATTCAGAGGTTTCCATACAGTGTTTACTAAAGGCGAGTCGCCGCCTTTTTTTTTAGATGTAATTCTAGAATTCTATATAAGCAGTTTTTGATTGGAGGACACGCATTTGAAGGGTACACATGGTGCCAAAGTGGCAGAATCGCTACTCATGGCTCCAGAATGCAGGACACTTTTTATACAGCGACCTGGCTTCCCACAAACGTTTTCACACCAAGTTGTACAAACACTTTAGAGAACCAATAAATGGAAAAACAAATGGAATTGAATTGATTTGTTCACAAATGTTTACTTTTACATCTATTGTAACATACAACATACAATTTTGATGAGAAAATGTTGGATACTCTAGCTTTAATTCAGAACACATCAGGCCACTCAAACATGTAATGGGATAGTTAACGCTTCAACTCCCGGAATTCTAAAACTCCCACAGCAGTAATTTTGACTGCTCCTATTCAAATGAATGGAATTCGGAAAAAAGCCCAAAACAAGTGGTAATTTCAATAGTAGGGAAAAACGTGGTAATTTCTATGTTTTTAACTTTAATACATACAAAAACTGGTGCATAAAACTGAAATACTGTCATGTTGGGAAAATTTAAAATAACCCAGAACGCAGTACTGCAAAAATAATAGTTTAATAAAAGCAAATACAAAATTGAATTCCAGAGTAAACTATAAAAAGTAACCAAACGAGGAGCGACAACAAGGCCTAAAATAGGATGACCCAAAAAATGTTATGACAATGACGGTCCAGGGACTGAAATACAAGACTAACCAGACTCAGGTGAGACACATGAGGGCAGGGCACTAATCACAAAACATTAAGAAGAGATAAAGAAGACACAGGCATACACATATTACCAAACAAAACATGACAAATACAGAAGAAAGTAAACAGTGTGTATGAAGACCAAAGACATACATACAGTAAGTGGAGTAATTACACTTCCAAAACTAAAAGCCGTCTCTTGGTCTGCTCTGGGAGTTCTAGTGTTCAAATTTGCTAGTTCTTTGTTTTGTGGTCTCTGTCTGAATAGTTGGGGAACCAGTGGGTTTGTATATTCATTGTTTCTTTTGCTTCTTGTCCACCCTGTTTTCCTGGTCTGGATCTCGCAGCCCTGGTTTAGTCCATTATAAAGCCTGATATGATTAGAACGCACCAACTGCTAAACTCATTACAAGAAATATTCCGGTCCCAGTTGTTGCCAATGGACCTATAAATGCCATACGCCTAATATGCTCCACACACATACATCTCTTTTCACTTTAGGACTGTGGAGCGAGCGGCACTGGCCTCGGAGGTAGTTAAACTCTACCGGAGCAGCTGTAAAAATCACTCAAACGTCCAGACCACTGTTCAGATGAAAGAGTGTGACGTTTTTATGAATGAAATATGAACCGAAACGCTGCCATAACATAAAAGTATTACTGCTGTGTGCGTCCATGTCAAAGGATAGTGGACTGAACCACGGACTGTAAAGGGCCAATCTGTGTTTCAGTAGTTGTCCTATAATATATGTAGTATTTACAACAACCACAAATATGAAACTACAGGTAGTTCAATCTGAAGAGACCAAAGACACAATTAGTACATTAAAATGAACTATAACCAACACCTTTTTCACAAAGGTATCACAGATAGAAATCTTTGTTTTATTCCTTGTTTTGTCATTTTGAGGATCACAATGAGACCTTTTTTTTAGTTCTGTGCATGGCCACATGTTACTTTACCAGTAAGATTAGCTGGACGCGGTGAGTTCTGGCAACCCGGATCACTGAATTTCTGATTGGTAAAACGGTGGAGGGCGGGACATCAAAATGAAAACATTATCAAGATTTAGGGGCTTTTAATTCAAGCTAATATTAAAAATCACATGCAACAGTTACCAGTGTGTTGCTACGGTAACTATCAATAGCTTTTCACTGGTGGAAACTCAAGCTGAACCAGAATCCAGTCCCGGACTTTACTAACATAGAATTAAAGTGACCAAAAATAGATACTAAATCATTTGTTTTATATTTGAATTGCAAATTATGATTAGTGTGCCAGCATTAGCTATAGTTTCTAACTCTAGTCTGCAAGGTGTAAAATCCTAGCAAGAACACATCACAGAAAAATGTATACACACAATATAAAAGATGTTCCGTAAAATTGTTTAAATATTACAATAAAATCAGATAATTAGGACAGTTACAAGGTCAGACAGATCTATGTCAGCTGGGGGAAAAGGGGACAAACAGCAGGTCAATACATTTACAAATGGTTACAGACTTGTTTTGTCCAATAAAAATGTTTTGGTTATTGGACAATATTGGGCAAAAACAGTATTTGATTATTGATTTTTCAGACTGTATATGTTAAGTTTCTCTACAGATAATTAAGCTGGAAACGAAAGCCTGGACGTGCTTATTTCACTTTCTCCACTCAATTCAACGCAAAACCAATGGAGACTCAATGAGACGTGAGGGAACAAAAAGCTTTTATAACAGTCCTTTTTTCTTACAAAGTGACTTGTTCTGGACTTCCAGACACCTCGCCTGCCAGTACTTTGAATTAGTCGTTTTTGGTGAAAGAATCAGAGGTGAGAAACCAAAATATTGGCGTTGAAGCATTTAATAGATTTTTTTGAAGGAGATGATTGGGAAATTGTATGAATTGTTTGCTGCATTTCCTTTTTGACAAACTTTGTTAAGTATAGATGTTGGATATTATCCTAAATGCACCATTGGAGTTATTATTTTACTACATGGCATTTTCTTATGTTTATCCAATGATTGGTGCTTATATGAAAGTGAAAATGCCATATGGCTGGGACATCCTGTTCATTGTTTACAGATATGAATACAATTTGTGTGAGCACAGCAGCTCACGCAAGATCAAAAGCACAGAGTCAGCATTCAATTAAATAATCATCCATTTTCTTCCCTTTAATCAATTTCTGGGTCGGGGGGGCAGCAGCCTCTCACTGCTCCTCCTGCAAGTGGAGAGTACACAGGAGCCTAAAAATCAAATTATTACTATATTTATCATTCTTTATTTAACTGTTTTATTTGAGTGGGGACAGTATAAAATCATAAACGATACATATATGGATGTATACATTGCTTTCTTGCTTCTTTGTTATGCACACGTCAGAGATTTTAGTGTAGAGTTAGCCTGGTCAATTATCATTTCCCAACATGTACACCTGGGTCGTGCGCCTAAATTCCTGGTTTTAGTTTTACAATAATGACGAATGCGATTGTTTAGTAAACCATTCTGGTTCGGCTCCAAATATCAAGAAATGTTTAGCAAATGTAATTTCTGGCAAAGATATTGTGGCTCTATTCCCCGCGGGCTAAAGCTAGGCTAAATGCTAAATGCCTCACTCGCTCAGGCACATTACATACGACACAACAAAATCAGATCCAATCGTTTCAATCTGCAAAAGAAAGTAACTCCTCCCACCTGTTAACGTAGTGCAATTGAGCAAATCCAGACCGTAGTAGAGAATGAAATTAGCACGATGGTATGGTAAGACCAGGCCAGTATAGAGTTATTGTTCACTTATCTTGAGCTGTAGCTCCTCATTCCAACTGGGTGACAAGGGTAAGGGTGATGCAACACTAAAATTTCCCCACTGTTGGACGAATAAAGAATCTCTTAATCTTGTGGTACAGGTGCCAGTATCAGCTATAGTTTCTAATTGTAGTCTTTGAACATACTTGCATGCAACACAAGTGCCAAACTCTGGTTGTGTCCTTAGGCAAGACATTTCACCCCCATTGCCTAGAATGAGTCTGGTGTGTGTTTAAATGTTGGTGGTGGTCGGAGGGGCTGATGGCACATGGTTGCCTCGCTTCTGTCAGTGTGTCCCAGGGCAGCTGTGGCTATAGTAGTAGTTAATCACCACCGTGTATGGAGTGAATAACATGTGAAGTGTCTTTGAGTGTCCAGAAAAGCGCTATATAAAACCAATGCATTATTATTATTATTATTAGTCTGCAACGTGTAAAATGCCAGAAAAAAACACAACACAGATAACAATATGTCTATCCAGTGACTGGTGCTTTATCCTAAAAAAATTATACATTTTTAGTTGAACTACAGTAAAAGAACTTTGTTCAACATTTTTCCCTCATCCCCAGGGAGCACATGAGAGGAAGACTGCAAGTACCAAGAGCTGGTGCAGGAGTTTGGGCTAGAGGATGGAGAACTTTCTATGAGCCTATAAAGGTTGGCTGCAGAGGCAAGGTAGTAACAATAACAGTAGAAACAAAACTCAAAAACTCAAAGACGCTTCACAATTCAGGACACACACACATACACATTCAGACAGACACAAAAAACTAAACATGTTTTTTGAAAGAGTCTAGTGAGTCTGAGTTTCTGAGGTGAGGGGAGAGAGAGTTCCAGAGAGTGGGAGCAGAGATGGCGAATGCTCGGTCCCCCAAGGTTTGGTGCTGGGATTTGACAGAGGGAGTGATGAGATTGGAGTCTGCAGATCAGGAGGGACTGTGTTGTAGAAGTTCAGTGAGGTATGGAGCGATGTTATGGAGGGCTTTGTAGGTGATGAGGAGGATATTGAAATGGATGCACTCTTTGATGGGGAGCCAGTGGACTTTTTGAAGAACAGGGGTGATGTGTTCGCTGGTGCGGGTTTGATGAGGCGGGCGGCGGAGTTTTGGACATTGCAGTTTTTGGAGATCTGATGAAGGAAGGCCATATAAAAGTTGAGTCTGGAGGATATGAATGCGTGGATCAGGGTTTCAGCGGCGCTGGAGGACAGGAATGGGCAAAATGTAAATGAGAAAACCAAAAATTTAAGAATAATTTAATTATTGTAAAAGTGCCATTATCTAAAGTTTCTAGCTGTGATCTGCAAGTTTGCATATTATTTTTTCTTTAAGTTAGTTATTATGGTTTTTGCGCCTTGAAAGCCAAAGACATTCCCACAGAGGAAACTACAGTACATTCCTTCTAACTCCATGTCAGATTCCTGTGTTACTGTGTGCCCCCAGGCAGAAGGCAACGCTCCAAGTCCGACTGTGAAAATACAAATAATAACCAAACTAAATGCCCTCTCCATGCATTTTCTACTTAAAACTGAAATCTCCAAGAATCCATTTGCCCTTTTCCGCGCACTAAAAATAAATGAGCGCTGAAGGGAGATGAAGTTTGGGGGAAAATCTGACAGAGCTGCAGCTGAATGTGTCGGAGCATGTTGTGGTTTTAGGAAAATGACAATTTGAATCCTGTTTTCATTACAGCTGACTGAGAATGGCAACACATTAAGAAATAGAAAGATGAATAATTAAGTATATCGCTGGATCTTATGTATTAGGAGTCAACTGTTCCACAAACCTATTTTTGGTTGCAAATTCTGCAACACAATATTCACAGGATAAAGTGAGAAGGGGCAAGAAAATACACATTGGACTTATTTGGTGATTTCACAAATTTACAGTCGAAGCACATTTGCCGTAAATTAAAGTGAACTCTGGTTCTTTTGTGTTGTAGCACCTATGACTCCCCATGATGTATTTGTATTTTATTTTAATCAATTAGCAAATTAGCATTTCTACAGTAGAGTAGATTGAGAAAGAAATTGATTGGTTATTGATTTAACTAATATCAATCTAAAGACTCAAGACATAAACATAATGAGAAGAGGTCTTTTGACAGTTGTGATAATTAAATAATGACTGCAGAAAGAGAGAGTTGTGGGGTGCTGGACTACCCCTTAAATGGGCTTGCCCCGCCCCCGGCCCACGCCCACCTCTGGTCCGTGCCCCACAGTTTGGATCGAGTTTGGTTTGATTGACTGGGAGGCATGTGCGCCCAGCCCTTCACCCGAAGAGGCAGCTGCTGAGCTCCAGTGTGACTGCGGGCTGCCCTCGCCTCCGCTCCAGTCTCCACCAGCGCAGCGGGACAGGGGCAGACGCTATGCTCACAACAAAGACGCTGACAGCAGAGAAACAGCGCAACAACAAAGCGAGCCAGAGCTCTCCCTGCGCCCGGCTCCTTCTATCACATCACGGCTCGAACAGTACGTGCTTCTGCGTTCATCAAGCTGCAGCTGCTTCGTGGTGGAACTTCCAACTCTTTCATTTCATCTCCATGTTTTTTTTTTGCATATAGACTTGAGGACAGTCCAGGAGCAAGTCCCGACATTTCTGGGATGAAGTAACTTTTTTTTCCCCATTGCTGTTTTTGATCTTCTCTCCGTGTAGTACGCGTGGATCGGGGACACATCCTCTGCCCCCCCCTCCTTCGTAGTGACAATCGGGACTTTTTAAAGGTGCGACGGGATGGCATTGTGTGTGTGTTGTGATTGGCTGACGCGCTTCTCACACAGACATATAAATTAGCCTTAACTTGTTAGAGCGAAAGGACAAACTGGAGAGAATCCCCATCAGAGCGCGCCACACAAACCAGGGCAACTTTTCCACAAGGAGAACTCATCCCCACCAAGACGCACTCTAGGTCGGAGTAGGAGACGCGGAGACTGGGAGCGCTGACTGTGGAAGAGACTTTATAGTTCCGGGGAGATGCAGATTCCTTTGCAAAGATGTTCCTACTCTATATTATCGTAAGTATAAAAAAATGATACAGACTCGTTTTTGATGGTATTATTATCCTATGTTTGTGTATCGTGAACCACAAGTACAGGCCTATAGTTATACTCCATAGAATTCTATTTTAGATCTAGGGAATGTGCCACCACAAGAAGCAGGGTTGGCAAGACAATTACGAGTTAATTTGCAAACACGGATAGGCATACGTCTGTTTTGAAATGGTGTCAATGGATTCAACTTCTTCACCATGTTTGGTTTAATTGCAGTGAATTTGAAAGAATCAAAGAATAAGTTAAACTGAAATCAGTGCACTGATATCTGTAAGCTGCTTTGTAAAGAACAATGAGCAAGTGTTTATAAAGGCACTGTTTTTAGAAATGAACTCAAATGTTGAAAAATAAATGTTTCCCCAAAAATATTTGTTGTAATTGTAATTAGATTCCCAAATCCCACTTGTTATTCCTATGCCTGAAAGTCCTTTAGCCAACATTATGCACATGTGTTTTCAATATTTGCCACCATGACATAGTTATACCATCGCTATGTATGTAATGATAAAAGAGGGTGTGTTGTTTTTTTGTTCATGTTACGGATGCTCCAGGATTTAGATATTGTCTATAAACTGGTTGGACTGGAAGATCAAAGACACACCCCAAATCCAGTTGTCAAATAAAATGTATCTTCGGCCCTGTCCACACGAAGTCAAGCTCAGGCCTAAACGCAAAAATACTTTATCAATCCAGTGTATCGTCCATACGAGGCCGGCGTTTTGGGGGGGGTGTAAACGAACATTTTTGAAAGTTGGTCCCAGAGTGGAAAGATGTCAAAACTCCGTATATGCCGCTCCGTGGTTACTGCCTCTCCGCAATGTATCTGAGACGCTTGCGTCATCGCCCCGCCTCTTGTTAAAGCACGCATGCGCCGCACTCAGAAAATAATGACAACAACAATGTAGCTTGTTGGTTTTGTAATCCAGTGTGACTCGAAGCAACAGTTCAACCTCATCGTCCGTCCATACTAATGTAGTACCAGCTCGCCCACTCGCCATGTTGTCTGTTTACAAAATTCCGCGCATGCCTAGTTCCCGTCACGGAAGTTTGGGCTTGATCCCGTCATTGCGTCACAGCGCCACCAACAGGTCTGGCATAGTTTCACAGCGTTTTCAGGCGTATTGACTACATTCATATGGACGCACACATTTACTGAGCTAACTCCGTGTTTACAGAAAAAGTTTCTGAAATTATAAGCGTTTTGTCTTCGTGTGGATATAGCCTTCAAATCACAAATACAAACAGTAGACAGCCTCTAAAAACAATTCAACTATACTCCCAAATTCATACCCTTTGGAGCAAACAAATATCTGAATGATGGGTTTTGGCCTCTGATAACTCATTTACTGTAATCATAAGAGGGGACATTCTCTGCGCATAGAAAGATCAAACTCCCACGTTTTAATAAGGGAAATGGTAAAGGAGGGTTCAGCTGCTGTCTGGGGATAGGATCTATGCGAGTGTAGAATGATCACATTTTGGGTTTTAACAATTCCTGTTTCATAGCCAAGGTAAATGTTTCTTGAAATTAGATTTATAGACCTTTGTAATGAAGCCAAAAGCTCCAGGCAGAACCCATGGAGTATCTTTACTTTACTCTTAATAAGATACATTTATTTTAATATTTTACTTTTCCAAGCGTTTGATAGTTTTGAGCTGAGCCTGTTTATCTGTCGCTACCACACATACGGTAATAATGAAGGCTTGAAAGGTCTCCGTGGTTACACAGTCAGATAACAGTCATTGCGCCATTATCAATTGCAATCAAATCTAATTCACACACTCTCCAACACGGTTATTATTGAAGTTTTTGCGACAACAAAAAAGGACTAAAAATAAACAAAATATCTCTATATTTGGGGAAATCTCTTGATTTGAATATCAGGTATTGTCGGTCCTCACGAGCCAGGAAACTGAGCTTCTTGCTCCTTTAGGACTTGTAGACAGATTTCATTTTGTGAAAAGTTTGAGTGAAACTACGGGTATAAACAGAAATAAAGTACATTCGCTTTTCTCTATAAAGATACATATTCTAATACAATTGTTGTTAAACCAGTTAAAGTAGGTGTCTCTTAAACAGAGTTAAAATCACAAACATTTCCAAAACTTACAGTCATTGCTTTCAAAGATATAGATACGATTTGAGACACAAGTGGACACAGTTGTAACTTTAGCGAACTGTTTTTCATTCATATAAACCGTTAAAATGTGACCAACCATGGTATGACCATACTAATATTGTGAGGAAAGGTCAAAAATAGTTTTTCTATATTTCTCTTCGCTTCAATTATTTAATTTTCCAAAGTTGTGCAGCCCTAATCCTAACAATGATTATGGGAGGGGGGTAGTGGGGGGCGAAAGCTCCGTGAGTGTGGGGAGGGCGAGCAGAAGAGCGAGGCTAGCGCTCACATTTGAAATATTCACAAATTCAGTTAGTGCAGCTTTAATAGACATGTAATGAGTCAAAATGTATTCATTCAAGATCCTTTGTTAAATTCTAAATCCTTTGGGGAGCTACCACAGGTTGGAGACCCTGATCTAAAACCAACTGCAGGTCTGGTGTTGATGGGGAAACAAAGCTGTAAGCTAACATGGTGAAAAGCTCAAACATTTAATTTACGTGCACAATACTAAGTCTCCATTAAATTCAGTTGTGCAGTGGAGAGGGGGAGTGTGTGTGTGTCCTGACCACAAATACTTTCACTATCAGCTCCGAAGGTCTGATGCTCTTATCGTGTTGTGTCTTTAATAGCTGTTCCTGCATCAGAGACTATACTTGAGACTGTTTTAGATTAGTTGCGTCAGTTAGCATTTAGTTTTGCTCTAATGATACTAAATAAAATTAAGTCAAAAGCAGAATTACATATAGTAATACAAAATATCTCTTAATACTAGAGAAAAACTAAAAGGTAAAGGTGCACTTTATTGATTCCGTAGAGCAATTCATCCTCTGCATTTGACCCATCCTGATGCTACTAAGGCTTACGTCAGGAGCAGTGGTCGCCGTAGTGACAGCGCCCGGGAACCCATCTCCAGATGTTGATGCTCGGCTTGGTCAGGACCGGAGCTGGAGGATTTAACCTAGTGTGCGTGTTTTTAGTGGTAGGGGAAACCGGAGCGTTGTGAAATAACTCGTCTCTGCCTTTTGGTTCTATCTTTCAATTATTTTAATATGACGCATGAAAACCCCACACTTTTCCAAGTTTGCCTCATCATGATTTAGTAATGGCAGCGTGTGGAGAGCTTATAGATAATGCATGTTAACTTCAGGTCTGACCCTGCGGCGTTGGCTCTGGGTTTATGTGGACATGTCCTTAAACGTCTTTTTAAACTGTACATGAACCGGCTGTCTATCAGCACAGTGGAGCAGTGGTCCTTCCTGCCAAGACAAAAAAAACAACAACACCGGGACAAATTGTGGTCAAAACGGTTTTGTATGGTTAATTTTATGTACCTATACTGACTTTTGTGGGTGAGACAGAAATCTTGGATATGGTAAAAAAATATGTGGCAGATGTGGCAAATGCTGCAAAGAAACTGGGTTGGTGCTATTACCCTGTTTGCTATTAGAACATTGTTAGGTTATTATAAAATGCATAGCTTGTTATGGATGCTTTTTTAAAGAAGAGAAAGAGGAAAATATGAACAACATGTTCAGTTTTATTTTTGTTAAGTGTGTTTGTAGCTCATCTGTTGTATGGTTATTTGGTGTAAATGATGCGTACGCAACAAATTTACACTTTTCCGCATTTATCAATCTGGACGTGAGCATACGATACGCACAGAATTTACACCAAGTCAATAGGTGGTGTAAATGTGTACGCTCATTTCACCCTTCGTCACAACACGCCAAAACACGCATGAAATTCAAGATTTGGATAACAATAAACATGTTCCCACTCTGGCAACATTATGAGCTGCGTTTTCATGGAGCATCATGTTTCGGAATTTGAATTTGCGCATCAGAAAACGTCTAACACTCTGGAAACACGCAAACTTCGAATAAATCACAGATCATAAATGCCACGTCAGATCTTGCGTATCTGTGACGAACGTTCCGCGGTGGAAAAAACACATGCGATTGTTACGACCTAACTCGGCTAGGGTAAGGGAGGTAACAAATGAAAACCAAGATGTTAAAATGGTAAAAAAAAGTATTTAATAAAAGGCAAGTTAATGATAAGTAAACAAAAAGCAAAAGGACACATGACAGGACATAAGGGGGTAACTCAGCGCTATCAAAATAAAACCTACACTAAACACTAATACAAAGAAATAAATACAAAACCTACTGTTGTTTCAACTGATGCGAAGTGTCACAAAAACAAAACCTCAAAGTGACAAATAAAAAGAGACAAACAAAAACAAAGCTATACGGACTCTTTTCTTTAAGTCATTGCCACCACTGTGACGACGACAGACTCCACAAGGACAATTAGTGATGTGCTGAGCGTGCCGGGTCTTCGAAGCGTGTACCGAGTAAAAAAGGGGTGTATTTTTTGAAGCGTGGTTCGAGGCGTGTGTTGGTGACGTATGTGGTGACGTTCGAAGCCTCGCGTAGC